CTTCTTGGGGGCATTGAGTGAGTCCTGAGAGAGTTGACAAGGCAGAGAAAGGAATGAGTGGAAGGGAAGGAGCACGGAGAGGAGGGCATTTTAAGGTAGAAGGAAGTCATGTGAGAGGCATGGGGACTGAGAGGGCTTGGCAGATTTGGGAAGAGTTCACTGTGGACAGGTCACTTGGTGGAGATGAGGCTAGAAAGGGAGATTGGGGAAAGATCACAAATGCTCTTGAGTACCACACTGGCAGGCTTTATCCCAGCAGTACCAGGAAGTCACTGATGGTTCTGAGCAGAGAATTGACATTAAAGCATCTACATTTTAGGAAGTCAACTCTGGTAGCAGAGATGATAGACAGGCTGGAGTGGTCATGGAACCCCAGGGGAGTCATATACGCACCAGGACCAGGCATGCTCAGCAGGCCCCTCGCATCCTTCTAAGCACAGCCAGCTTCCCACATGAGTGATCCTCCTTTAATGTGATATTCAGTTCCAACACACAGGTCATTCTGGTCCTGGGCACATGTAGTATTCCTCCAAGCAACTGCTTGTTCCCCCGATTTCTCAAAGACTTTCATTTCCCATACTCAGATTCTGTGTTCTCATGCGTGGCATAACCTCTGTGGATGGCCTGGGCCCCTGTATGTGTATCAGCCTAATATCATGTGGGCACAACCAAAGCTTTCTAAGAGCCCTTTCATTTTGGTGCCACCCACATTCTACTGTTTACCTTCTCAAAGGGGTGCCCAACCCAGGGAAGACTCTTGTGACTAGCATCTCCCTTATGTCAGCAGTTACCCTAAGTTTCCCCAGGCTAGTGGGCTGACATTTGAGGAATCTGCTTCTGCAGCCAGATATGGAACCCGAGATGGCTAAGGTCACCAAGATGCCCCTCCAGGATCTTGAAGGAGTGGCTTACAAGAAGCTATGCAGGTCATAGAGTGAATCCCATCCACATGATTCCTGTCCAAGTGCCAGGCTGCCTGCAATCTGACCCACTAAGGATGGCAGCTTCATGATGTGAGGACAGGCCAGCAAACGCTGGAAGCTTAAGGGACATAGCCTGTGTCTTAGGAGGATTGATGTTCCAGGTGCAGGAACAATGGACTTCCGGTTCCATAAGAGACTGTGGATTGAAGTAGATGGTCTCTAAGTTGAAGTAGAGGGTCCTTCCAGCTATGACGGCCTAGGATGACTATTTAACCTCTTTCCTTGGACCTTTTTTATAGATGGGGTGCAGAGAGGGAAGCAGAGGCTGGGAACATCCTGTCGATGCTTAGCCACCAAATAGAGGTTCTGAGCACTAGGGCCTCCACTGCTCCCTGAAAAATACCCAAAACACAAATCCACACAATAGTCACTGGACAAATGCCCACCTGGGGCATGCCCACACTGTGGTAGGTACAGCAAAGGGGCCTACCTGTAGGTGATGGATACACACAGATTCCTTCAAGGCCATGGATCCCATGACGTGGTGACTCCCAAACCAAAGCCCTTCACTGTGTTATTGCTCCAGTGGATGGTGAACATGGGTGGGAGGAAGCCCCAAGGAAGCCAACTCATCTTCACTTCCCTCCCTAAAGACCCTGGGGGTTAGTCTAGAGGTCTGGAAAAGACTATGAGGTATGATGAAAAAAACCCTAATGTTTCAGTTTTGCGAAGGTTGAGGAAGGCTAAACGTTGAGAACCCCTTCCATGTAGGAATTCTCCATACTATTTTTCTTGGGATTTCTTTGGGACTCCATGCTGCAGGTTTCCAGCTCAGAATACAACCCCCACTGCCATCACCATTTATCAAGGACTCCTGTGTGGGGCGCTGTACTAGGTTCTCCGCAAGCTGGACGTATTCCTCACAGCAGCCCTGCAAAGGAGTTATTAGGGTGCCCATTTTGCAGATAAGGAAATAGAGCCACAAGGAGGTTAGGTAACTTGCTCAAAGTCATACAGCAGGTAGCAGAACCGGGATTCTAAGCCAGGTCTTCCTGACACCAGAGCCTGTGTTCTTTGCCCTCCACTATATAACCTTAAACTTTGCCACATTGATGACAGCAGTCCTGGGTCTCATAGCTGCCTTCTACCACATGAGTCTATGAAGAGGTCTAAGGAAGGAGGCAAGGACAGGGTCGCTTTCTCAAAGCTTCCTCAGATACCTGGGAGGGCCACAGTCTCTCAGGCCCCCATGCACTACATGGGGAAAGGCAGAGTGGGTTCCACCAGCCAGAGAACCTGGCACTTTGGAGCTGGTGGGCCTTGGTGGACTGGCCTTGGCACTTGAATCCAAGCTCCCAGAATGTCCAAGCTAGAAGGGTCCTTAGAGATGAGTAAGGTCCCCTCAGTGACAGGTGAGGAAACTGACCCAGGAGGAGGACACGAATTACCCAAAGCCACAGAGCTAGTTAGAAGCATTGTGTATGTGTGTGTGAGCATGCTGGAGATGTCAATGGAGGGCCGCCTCACTCCCAGGCCCTGCGAAGGAGTTCAGGTGAAAAAGCCTTGGAGCCTTTTTCTGTATCCAGAGGGGTGGCCCACAAAGAAGGCTATTTTTTAAATTTGTTTTATTTTAACACAAGTAGTTTATTTGAGACAAGGTGACCCCAAGAAGTGTTGATTTAGTGGAGTGGGGGTTGAGACACAGAAGAGAAGGAAATCCAGGTTCATTGATGACAAAGTCACTGCTTTGGCCCACTGGGGCTCAGTCACTGGGCAATTTGGGGGGATGCTGTGGAATGTGCCACAGAGTTGCTCTGCCCAAGGGACGAGGAAGCTGGGGTATTTATCCACCACCCTCCATTGTCATTGTTGAGCTCTGCTATGGAGGGGCATCAGCTCTGCAGAACCTCTTGCCAAGCACACTCCAGCAATCAAAGAATGCAAGGGCTATTTGTAAAGGTGCTCATAGCCCTGAGAAGCCACCAATTCTCTAAAGAGTCTGGAACTCTTTGTGGGGGAAGAGGCCTTGAGCGCCAGTACGGAGGACAGTCCAGAGAAGAGATGGGTGAGACCAAATGCTGCCCCCCAGGCCCTGGAGGTAGGTTGTGCCAGGAGAGGGGGAGGACTATTTCTATGTGCCCTGCAGGAAGAATGGGCATGTCCGATAGCAAGAGGAGCTGAAGTTAGATCTTAAAAAGAATTTCTTGGTGATACTCGTGAAGAAAACAGCAGCTATCTGGAGCTTATCCAACTCTGCTGCTTGATTGGCAGCCACAGAAAAAATGATGGAGCAAAGAAATAAGGAGTAGCAAGGAAGGTTTCCTTAGGGAGTTTGAGGCTCCTTGTTGCTAGGGCCGGTCAATGAGCTGGACTTTATCTGGGGGCAAGAGGGCGCAGGGCAGTGCTGGGAGGACAGATGGAGGGTGAGTGAAGAGAGGATTCTTCATCTCATCCTTGGTTAGTCTAGCACCAGGAGGCTCCAAAGTTGGGAAGAAGCAACAGGAAGAGGTCTCTTCTCTGGCATGATTCAAGGCATCTTACATGGAGGCAAAGCCTTGGAAGAAATAAGTCCTAAGTTTGCCTAGCTCTCTGACCAGGGCCACCCCACCTCCCTGGGCTCCTGCTCCTCAGCTGTAAGAAAGGGAGATTGGAAGCCTGGACGAGATGACCTTAGGGTCCCTTCCAGTCCTGACCTTCTACCCCTGTCTGCCATAGAGGGCGTCCCTGTGGCCTTGCATTCTCTCCAATTCACTGATCAGCAAGTGCTCACTGAGCACTTATCATTTGCCCAGCATTAAGCGGAGGAAGAGAATAAAATGGAATATGGGCCCTGGCCTCCAGGAGGGGAGAGATGGGGAAGTAAGAGTTGGCATTTATTGAGCACTTGCTCTGTGCCAGGCACTGTGCTAAGCACCTTACATATTCTGCCATCTTTACCCCTCACCACAACCTCATACGGTAGGTACTAGTACCCTCCATTATACAGATGAGGAAAGCAGGGCTCAGAGGAAAAGCAACTTAACCAAAGCCACATGTGGTAGAGCCTGGATTGCAGTCTGTGCTGTGAAACAGACAGAGACTCCCTAAGCATGGCTGCTAGTGTTCTGGCAGAGAGAGCAGTAAAAGCAGGAGTCACCTGGGAAGGCTTCACGGAGAAGGTGACTCAGCTCTTGGCCTTGAAGGAGGGCAGAACTTGAGGCTGGCGGAGGAGGGGAGCAGCCCGAGTGCACTGACACCCCTGGGCATGCTGGGCTGTGCCGGCTCCAGCTGACAGATATCTTCTTAGAGTAGGAGGGGGGCAGCAGCTATGGCTCAGCCTGCTGGTGGCTCCAGGGGAAAGAGGTGGGGTCAGGGAAGAAGAGCTGCTTCCCTAAACCCAGCAGGACAAGAGCCCTCCTCGTCACAGACCCAGTCCAAGAAAGCTGGAGTCCCCCTGCCCTAGAGGGGCTGTATGCCCAAGCCAGGCTTATAAGCATTACTCCTTCCCAGACTCATTTGGGTGGTCTAAAGATGAAGCTGCTGCAATATGGATCAGCTTCTTTCCAGTTACCTAAGCCAGTGGCCAGGGAGCCAGACCACTGATAACTATAGTAGTTAACCCTTATACATAGCAGGGACCACGAGCCAGGCACTGTTTTAAGAACTTTAACTAACTTAAGCCTTCCAATATCCCCATGAGGGAGTATTATTACTAAACCCCTTTTACAGATGGGGAAACAGAGGTACGGTGAGGTTAAGTAACCTGTTCAGGGTCCCACAGCTAACAAGAGGTGGAGCCCAGATTTGAACCCAGGCAGCCTATTCTTACTCCCTCTGCCCTGTGGCTTCCAAGCAGTTTGTGAGCTCTGCTCCTAGCTCCTTCTGCCCTCTGCCCAGGACACCCTCCCCACATTCAGGTTCTCCTCCTTGCCTGGGGCTCTTCCCTGCCAAGACAGCTCCTCCCAAGAGGGAGCTGCAGGAGGCACCCCCACCGGTTCCCACCCCTAGAAAGGCCCATTGTGCCCGGTTTGCCCCCTCCCACGCCCACACGCACTCCGTCCCCTCCCCCAACCGAGCACCGTTGCCTTTCGTTCACAGTGATGGCTCCTGCGCCCAGGCCGGTGGGGGCATGGAGGACTCCGTGGTGGCAGCGGCGGCGGTGGCAGCCGGCAGACCCAGTGCCCATGTCCCGAAGGCTCAAGCCCAGGAGCTGCAGGAGGAGGAGGAGCGGCCGGGGGCGGGGGGTGCCTCCCCGCGGGCTGGCCCCCACCGCATGGCCTCCCCCGGCCGGCAGCAGCCTGCCCTGGCGACGGCGCTCTGCTCCCACGCCCCTGCCGCCTCCGATTACGAGCTCTCCCTTGACCTAAAGAATAAACAGGTACCCAGGGCCTCCAAGGGGGGCGGGAAGGGTGGTGAAGGGGCCCTGCCTTCGGGAGCTGTCCAGGGTACCATGGATCTCCCCAGTTGGGCCCATCTCTGCTGCAAGCACACCTCTTTTGCCACTAGTTCTCCCAAATTGAGCTAAGTAATCTGCGCTTCCATGTAGCCCAGTTCCTCAGGCAACCAGCCTTTACATGGCAGGGGTCACACCCTTGCAATGCCAGGCCCTTAGGCAGTGTGTCCAGGGCTCTGCTCCTCTCACCATGTGCAGGAAGCCTAAACTGCCCCACAAACCTCTAGGGAAGTGGCCCATTGTTCTTGGGGAAGTCCCTACCTCCATGTACTGTTTAAAAGAGATAGCCCAGCTTACATGCCCACCCAAGGGGCAAGCCCCATGAGTAGGCACACACAGGCTCAAATGGGGTGCAGAGACAGTGGTCTCCTCCAGACAGACTGAGGATTCCCAAGATTAACCCAGATTAGGGGAGTCCAAAGCTCTTCTATTGGAGAACAAATCCCATTGAGGGGTTCTAGGCTTCCATCTTCCACGGTTTGTCTTGGTTGACAACTAAGAGACCCGAAGAAAGATCTGTAAGTGTGTGTGTTTGCACCCGTGCGTGTGCACATGCTTAGAGAAAGACATCATGACTTGATATTGTTAATAAAGAGCATTGAACTTGGAGCCGTAGACATGGGGTCCAATCCTTGTTCTTACTCTAGTTAACTCTGACTTTGGGAATTCCAGTTAAGCACTCTGGACATTGGTTTCCTCATCAGCAAAATTGTGAATTAGTCGTTGAATCATCTCCAAGGTCCCTTCTAGCTCTAAAATGTGTAGGTTCTAAGAAAACATTCTTTAACTCAACAAAGTGAGTCTTTGGAAGGGAAGCTAGTAGAACGGTCACTAAGACTGAGTCAAGCCAAACCAACCTCATTTCTTTCTTTCGGCATCAATGCCAAGCTGCTATCCTGGCCAGCTGTAGGTGGAGTATCTGGCTTTCAGTAAAGTATTTGACAAAATCTCCCATGATATCCATGTGGACAAGGTGAGAAGTGGATTAGATAACAATAGAGTCAAATAAGTTGTTCTCAAACAGAAGTCTCAAAAAAATGTTAATTTTTCTATCAATGCCCATTCCTGGGACAGTGAGTGGGGCGCTGTCCTTGGTCCTGCCCTGTTCAACCATTTTGACAAAGCACTACTTTCTGATGACACAAAGCTAAAAGGGGATAGCTAATACCTTGACGATAAAATCCAAAACTTCAAAAAAAATCTTATGAGGGCAGAAAGATGGTTCAAATGAAATAAGGAAAAAGTCTAAAGTTCTGTTCTTAGCTTTGAAAAGCCCACAGCATTATTATAAGATGGGCAGGCTTGGTCCTGGGAGAAAGGCCTTAGGGCTTTAGTTGACTGTAAGCTCAAGATAATCAACATCGCGAAGCAGCTGCCAAAGAAGTGAGTGCAGCAGCCGTCTCAGCTGGGTAGATAAAGCCCCCAGTATAAGGGAGCAGCCGGCAGGAGCCAACGCTTCTTATTGGTCAGGGCCTCTCTGGAGCCCATGCTTGGTTCTGGGGGCTTTATTAAAGAGGTTCTGAGGCTCTCCTAAGAAGGAAAACAGGATTGGCTGAGTCATGTGGAGAACTGTAGACATGAAAACAAGTTTTAAATATGAGGAGCAAGCATGTGAAAAAGGGATTAGATGTATTTTCTATCATTCCAGGCAAAAATAGTGGTACTAATGTGTGAAAACTATGGAGAGAAAGCTTTTAGCTCAATTAACAATTAGAGTTGTTAAAAATATAAAATGTCCTGCTTGTGAGGTAATGAGTTCTGCGTTCTGGGAATACCTATGCAGGGGCTGGAAGACAGTCCATCTGGAACACTACAGTGTGATGTGGGTGGTCAGTTGGCCCAGATGAGAGAGACTCTCAATTCCACATGCCTCTGCTCCTTGAGGACAGAGACCGTCTCTTATTCCTCTCTGTACCCTTCCAGCATCTAGCAGAGTGTCTCAGACATAGTAAGAGCTCATTGAGTGAATATTTTTTTAATAACTATGATGTGCAAAGCAACAAGGGAATGGGGTACCAAAAAGAAAAAAACGTGGTCCTTGCCTGCCCCCCAAATAGATTATCGTTCAGTTTAAGGAGTACCCAACTAACAATGCCAAAGGAAACTCATGCTTCAGCAGGAGGTTAGTTTAATTCTGCCTGACTAGGTAGGATATGGAGAGTTGTACAGGACTCTGATTGGTACTATGGACCTTTTTTATAGTGGACATAATTCTAATAGATGAGTTTGCAAATTGGGCCAGCAGGAGTGGGGCAGGAAAGGTGAGGTTGGTAGAGAGTGTGACAGGAGCCCTGGTGCTGAGAAAACTCAGCCTTGAGGAACAGCTCACCTCCCCTGGCTCATGTATTTCTCTAGGCTGAGCATAGGCTAGGGGTGGAAGGAAAAGGGCACAAAGGGATTGAAGGGGCTGGAGCAAAGTGATTAAAAACAGGGCACTCATTTACAAGAGATGAAGCTCTGCTATTTTCTCTTCTGCAAATGAACTATGTGACCTTGGGCAAGTTGCTTAACTTCCCTGAGCCTCAGTTGCCTCATATCTTTGGGGCTTTGTACATGCTGTTCCCTTTGTCTCTACTGCTAACGTTCGTACTCCCCCCACATCTTGCACTTGGCCTCCATTACTCTGCCTCCTGCTTTAGGACTCTCTTTTGGGGCCCCCTCCTCCTCCCTGACAGCTCTCCCTGCCCTCTCAAGGCTGCTTTGGATGCTGCGAAGGAGCACCCAGGTGTTCCCTATCATAGCCCTTCAGTGCTATATCCTCCTCTCCCGTTGGCTTGAGTCCTCCTTGAAGGCAGGTGCATGACTTTTCATCATTATATCCCCAGTTCCTGGAGTGAAGAAACTGCTTCACAGATGAAAAGGGGAAAATAGTAACTCGGAGACCGAAGGGGATGGGGATGGGCTTGAAGCCTGGGGCCAGGACCTGACTCTACCTTCGGTTTCTTTGAGAGCTAGAATTTGGTATTCTTTTTTTCCTTTTTTTTTTAAGATTGGCCCTGAGCTAACATCAGTTGCCAATCTTCTTTTTTCTTCTTCTTCTCCCCAAACCCACCAGTACATAGTTGTATATATTCCAGTGGTAGGTCCTTCTAGTTCTGCTATGCGCCTCATTGTGGCTCGATGAGTGGTGCTAGGTCCTCACCCAGTATCGGGAACAGTGAAGCCCGGGGCCACCAAAGCGGAGTGTGGGAACTTAACCGCTTGGCCTTGGGGCCGGCCCCTAGAATTTGGTATTCTGATCCTGTGATCCCTGCCAGTCACACAAATCCTGTAGTCCTTGGACCAGAAGGAATCTTGGACAACCATTATCTCCCCAATCCACCAACCTGCCAGGCCCGTTCCATCAGCCAGTCCAGAATCCCAGGCATTTTCTGTGGCTCCTCTCTCTCCCCCGCATCTGCTCCATCCCCAAACCCCACTGATGCTACCTTTTAACAATTTCCCAAATCCCACCTCTCCTGCCAACCCCACTGCCCCCACCTTAGTCCAGGCCACCATCATCTCTGGCCAGTGCCCTTCAGGAACCTCCTGCAGGTTCCCCTGCTTTCAGCTGGGCCTCTTCCAACTGGATCTCCGCTCTGCTGCTGAATCCCCTTATAAAGAGCACATCTGATCATGGTGTTGCCCTGTGTGAGAGCCTTCCAGGGCTCCCCATCGTGTGCAGGATGGACTTCTCCAGGCTCTTCTACCAGCCCACGTCCTGCCTTGCTCCCCCTCAGGGTTCCAGCCATTCCTATTTGCCTTTCCCCAAATCTCCATGCCGTCCATTGCCTCTGGGCCTTCACATATTTTATTTCCTCTTTTGGGAATTCTCCCACAAGTCCCCCAATCATGCTTTGCCTGGGTGATCTCTCCTCACACTCAGGTATCCCCGAACCTGGCTGTGTGCTTTCACTGAGTGCCCTATGGCTGACTCTGTGCCATTCTGGTGGTGGTCCCACTCACACGGGCAGGACCATGTTGTTCCCAGGGCTGCCACAGAGTCGAGCAGGTTGTGCAGCCTCCAGGGGTGCCATTCACTTCAAAGTCTGTGTGAGGAGCAAAGTACTCCATGGTACTGTGCACTGGGTGCTGCTCTGCTCCTGCCCACCATTGTTTTCTTGCACCCAGCACAGTCTCTGGTGCCTAGGAATGCTCGATATCGGAGGAACACATGAACGAAAGAACAAACAAATGAACGAATGAATGAGTCAGGCCCGCCCAGGCTTCCCTGTTCTCCCCGGCCCCATGCACCTGCTGGCTCCTTCCTCAGCCCCTGCCCATAGTCGCACAGAGAGCAGGTCCTCCTGACAGCTTCTCTCATCCTCAGCTCCCTCTGCCCTCAACTCTCTCACTTCACCTCACAGTGATCCTTGAGGCTACAGCCTTGGGGAACAGGGAGGGAACATGCAGATCCCCTTGGGGGGCCCTTTAGGGAAGCGTCTGTGGCAAGGATATAGAGGGCACGGGAGTGATTTCCTAGTCATTTCCAGGAGTGATTTATGCAGGTTCTCCAGGCAGTTTGTATCCTGTTCTCTGTCACGGTGGGGGAGCAGCCCATTGGAGCCCAGCTGGGATGTCCAAATTGCAAAGCTCTCTGTGCTGTCCACGCCAGGGAACATGGAGCTGCAGTCAGTAGCATCCAGGTCCTGCTCCCCAAGTCAGGGTCCTGGGTGGAAACCATGTTCCCTTCTGGAGAGCAGCCCCTTCCCCACGTTTCTCCCATACCCAAAGCCTCAGAGTCCAGCCTCACCGTGGGGTGCCTCTCAAGGGGAGAAGTGGCGGCTATGTTTTCAACCCTCTGGGCTTCGGTTTCCTCATTTGTGAAATGAGAGGTTGTACAGGAGTGTATCCAAGGCTTCTTCCCACTCCGAGAGTGAGATTTGTACCACAGACGGGGAGGGCAGCAGAGGGCCAGCCGACAGACGATGGTGGCAATGGTGGCG